AGAGTAATTTGTTCAAGAGTCAGACTCCACTGTTCACACTGTAGTCATTAGACTGATTCAGATTGTGAGTTTGAGACTGTTTGTGAGTCTTTTGACTGATTCATTACAGTGAATCATTTAGAGAGTCATTTGTTCAAGAGTCAGACTCCAGTGTTCACACTGTAGTCATTAGACTGATTCAAATTGTGAGTTTGAGTCTGTTTGTGAGTCTTTTGACTGATTCATTACAGTGAATCATTTAGAGAGTCATTTGTTCAAGAGTCAGACTCCAGTGTTCACACTGTAGTCATTAGACTGATTCAAATTGTGAGTTTGAGACTGTTAGTGAGTCTTTTGACTGATTCATTACAGTGAATCGGTTAGAGAGTCATTTGTTCATGAATCAGACTCCAGTGTTCACACCGTTGTTAGACTGATTAGATTAGACTGATTCAAATTTACAACTATTTGTTCAATTCTCAGCCCATTTTCACATGTGTGAATGGTTCTGAACACACACCTAATCCTGATTTTCACTTTTTCAACACCGTTGATAGAAAAGATCAAATAATCTTCATTCTTATTTTGTGAAAAAAAACTGTGATGGAATGTTTTTATTGATATTTTTGAACTCAGCTTCATCAAATTAGGTAATATTAGGTCTTTTTTGCAAGGGTTGTGTTATATATTCACGCTGATGTCTGTGCGCAGGATTTCACTGCAGATCTGTCGGATTTGGACGGTCCGGTCAGACAGACGGGTGAGCACATGGACGACAGCAGCAGCTCTGACTGTCCAGAGTCACCGGATTTCGTCAAAACCCCGAGTGTGTTTTGAACACCATGACTTTGAAGTTCAGTGATGTTCTGATGTGTTATTGGCTCTTTATCCTTTCTTAACTTGGGATTTTTTCCCCCCAGAATTCCCGAAACGATCCCAAGCTTTCATTGAAGTGGCTAAAAGAGACAGTGAACTGGATTCTCACCCACAACAAGAAACCAACGCCACAGCAAACTTACCGTACACTGGTAACACACTCACACACACTCTCTCACACACACACACACACACACACACACACAAAAGCATGACACACACACACACACACACACACATCTTGAGTCTCTCTGTAAACATCAGGCATCAGTGATTTGCTGACGTGTATTTTAGTTTCTACAGGATCAGAGGTGGAGTTCATGAAAACACTGCGGCCGGTGTCACTCTCACTGAACGCTCTGGTGTTGATCTGTCTCTCTCTGTGAGTCTCAGCGTGTTCATTCATACACTACTGGTCAAAAGCAATCTGAAAACTGCTTAATATTTTTGTGGAAACTGTGAAACACTTATCATTCAAACGTTTGGGGTACAAAAAAAGAGGAACTTATAATTCTATTCATCAAGGATGTATTACATTGATCACAGTAAAGGCATTTATAATGTTACAGAAGATTTCTATTTCAAATAAATGCTGTTCTTTTGAACTTTGTTCATCTGTGAATCCTGAAAAATAAAAAGTATCACAGTTTCCACAAAAATATTAATGTTTTCAACATTGATAATAATCAGAAATGTTTCTCGAGCAGCAGATCAGCATATTATACTGATTTCTGAAGATCATGTGGCACTGAAGACTGGAGTAATGATGCTGAAAATACAGCTGCGCATCACAGAAATACATTACAGTTTAACAGAGATTCACATAGAAAACAGCTGTTTTAAACTGTACTAATATTTCACTATTTTTACTGTATTTCTGATCAAATAAATGCATCCCTGGTGAGAGCTCTGTTTGGTTTGCTCTTGATCTCTCAGGGTCTGTGTCCTGCTGTTGTCCTCCTGTTACATGGCGTTTAAGATCGTGTCTCTTGAGGAACGTCTGACGTCTCTCGTGTCAATGGAGTTTCCCCAGAAAAGGTAAAGACAAAAGTGATTTAATGGCTTTAACTTTATTTTAAATTTAATTGTATTATTTGGTAAAGCAGAATATCAGAAACTCTAAACGTACCAGATTCCAGAAGATCATCAAATGTTTGTAAATATATATATATATTATAATTCTAATGTTTTATGCTTCATATAATCTGTTTCTCTTGTTATCTATGTATATTAGATATCATATGGCTGAACACTGTATGTGTGGTTATGATTCCAGAGACGAATATCAAAGCCTGTTTGCTGGAGATACAGCTGAGATCTACTCGGTTCTTTCTGCAAGTCTTCTGAAGCTGGAAAAGGTTTGTATGTGTGAACACATCTGAACGTCTCAGAATGGGAAGGATTGGTTTTCTTAATCAAACATTCATTGTAATTGATCTATTTGATGAACTCCAGCACACACAAATGGGCTGTAAATGTGCTCACCCTCAGGTTATTCAAGATCAGAGTTTGTTTCTTCATCAGGTTTGGAGAAATGTAGCACTGCGTCAGTGTCTCAGCAATGGATGCTCTGCAGTGAATGGGTGCCGTCAGAACGAGAGCTGATAAAAACATCACAATAATCCACAGCACTCCAGTCCATCAGTTAACATCTGGAGAAGACAAAAACTGAAACTAATCCAGCGTTAAGATGTTTTTGGACTGTTTAAACGCTGCTTGATCTGTGCAGATTTATCTCCTGATTCAGAACACTTTTTCACTGGAGGAAGTTATTATGGATTATGAACTCTATGGTATTTTAGTTAAAAGCGTCTTAATGCTGGATGTGTTTCAGCTTTTGTCTTCTCCAGATGTTAACTGATGGACTGGAGTGCTGTGGATTATTGTGATGTTTTTATCAGCTCTCATTCTGACGGCACCCATTCACTTGCAGTGAGACACTGATGCAATGCTACATTTCTCAGATAAAGAAACAAACTCATCCTAATCTCGGATGCACTTAGAATGAGATCATTTTCATCTTTTGGGTGAACTCTTCCTATAAGCGTTGTGAAGATAAAATCACAGTTGGTTTAAAGATGATCATCCACGGTGATCACTGAGGAGCTCTTCTGAACAACACAATCACGCTTTTCCAGATCCACAGAAACCTGCAGAGACTGCTGGAGACCGTGTCTGAGGTCTGAATGAAGGGCGTACGGGCCGTTAAGGTACTTCTCTCAGAGGAAAAGACATGGAAATGAAAGCCAACGTCATGATGTTTTAGTGACACGTTCAAGAAAATTTAAGTAACTGTGAAAAAAAAAAATCATGAGTAGAACTAGTCATCATTGGCTGTTTTATACAAACATTAGAAGCCAAGCATGAGATACACATTAGCTGAGCCAGTGTTTTTGACTGAACTGTTTAAATAAATGTAAATAGCCTGATATTTGACTTTGTATGAACAGACTGAACAGACTCATTAGAAATACAATTAAGATACCAATAAAACAAAACTGTGTGTAATTGTCATTTGGATTGAATAAAGTGTGTAGTCTCTGAACATTAAGCTTTGATGTTGATTTCATGTCGGGCATCATAACAGCTAAGGAAAGTTTTGAGATGCTTGGACCGAACCGGACCTCATGATTTAACTCATGCACACACACAAACGCTGGCACAAACGTGCTGAAAATGCTCTCACCCTCAGGTCGTGTTTGAGTTTGTTTCATCATCAGGTTTGTAGAAATGTAGCATTGCATCAGTGTCTCACTGCAAGTGAATGGGTGCCGTCAGAATGAGAGTCCAAACAGCTGATAAAAACCCTTTTCTCTGCACGAAACAGGATAGTGAGGGAGGCGTGTGGAACTAATATGAAGAAAAACAGAGCATGATGATCATATGAGAAAAGACAAAGCGGTTTTCCTGATCCCGTGTGCTCTGAAACACAATGTTCTTCTGAGGAGGAGGTGGTTTGCGAAGGATCTCTTTCAGCTCGGCATTGTGAAGAGTGAGATTGTGAAAGAGCGTGTTGTGTTATATGCTAATGTGACTGAATGTCATCGCTCCTCTCCACAGATAACCATTGTTTCTCTCTGAACTGGAACGAGGACGAGTGCTGGGGGGGTTTGAGCTCTTAAACATTATGCAGAGGATGGAAATACTTCATATCGTTGACTGTACAGTTCACTTGTTGTTTGTTTTTTACCCAATATCATGATTTTAGGTTTGAATGTGTATTGATGGAAAAGTTTTCAGCTGCTTTTAAATCACTTTTTTGCATTAAAAATGATTTTTCAATAGAACAAATATTCTTTTGAGCTCATAAAACTGCGCAGTTTAGTTAAGAAATATACTACGCACTATTTTAGATTGTCTGTACTGTGGCAGGGTTATTATAATGAACTAAAAGTCAAGTTACAACCATTTCGTTACTTGAAATAACTTAAAAGTTAACTGAAACAAAACATTTTTTTTTCACTTTTTCACTTTAATTCAGTTTAACTTGATGTGCTAAAATAACTAAAACTAAAATTTAAATACAAATGTATAATAACTACTATATAAAGTACTAAAAATGACAAAAACATGTAAGGAAATTATTAAGATTACCTTAAATTAAAATGTAAAAAAAAAAAAAAAGATTCAAAAATTATAATAGTCTCTCAATGATACTAAAATAGCACTGTTACTGCAGCAGGATAGTGTTACAAATGCTTATATGTCAAAGAAACATAGTTACGAGTAAAATATTAAATAAGCGTTTCATTTATTAACATTAGTTAACATTAATTAATACTGAACAATAATTCTACAGCATTTATTAGTCTTAGTTAATGATAATTTCATCATTTACTAATGACTATATTTTTTAATTAAAAACTGTATTTGTTACCAACATGAACGATTGTACAGATATTATTAAATGTTATAGGACATATATTGTTCTCTGTTAGTTAGTGCATTAACGCGTCTGTGTTTCTGCGCGCAATTACGCGCCTCTCGTGACGCACGCGAAAACATGAATGAAAACATCAGGAATAAACTGATCTGTGTGTGTGTGTGTGTGTGAGAGAGAGAGAGAGTG